GGTAAGCATCTAGCCTATGGTATGTAGTAAATGCCAGTTACCTTTTCTAAGTTGTTCTCTACAGGCTAAGCTTATCCTAGCCCTCATCATCTTTCTCCTTTCGGCAACAAAGCTCATCTAGAAAACTAGGGAACTGAAAAGATAGTACAGTGTGGGTAATGCAGTTGGTTCCTAGGTCTCTGCGTCCTCTCCCCCATTGTGCCAGAAAAGGGCTGAGAAAAGAATTTCCCATGTGGCTTTCTTGGGGCCCAGCCGGCTTGTGCTGCACCTGGCTAGTGAGCTGAAACTTTCTAGTGCACAGTCCTCTCTTTTTGGCGATGATAATCTAGGGGAAAGAGGAAAACAGAAAGAAGGAATCGAACAGGTTATTTCCAGGCCTGAGCTCCCAATTTCCCATTCACAGCTTCTAGTCATCATTAGTAACTTAAAAGAGTCACTAAATAGGTCTCTGCCAAATAAAAAAGTGTCACTTACTGTAGGGAAAGAAGCGCACACGCATGCTGATTTCACGGGCTGTCTTCAGGATTTCAACAGCCTGGAAAAAATTTAGCAGCTTATACAAATGAAGCGATGTAAACCGTGGCAGAATCACAAAAGGAGGAATGGGATTTGATACTCTAACCGCCCTCTGGGTAACTACCAGCCACTACCCTCTAGTACATTTCTCAAGGACAGATGCTTTTGTTACAGACTAGGCTAACCTTGTCCAACTCGTCCAACCCGTCCTACCTGGGATGGCTTCTTGCATAACCACAACCCAAGTGCTATGCTCACCTTGCTGTGCTCAATATCTTGGAAATCCACATCATTCACAGCCAGAACTTGGTCCCCTTCTTGAAGTCCTGCTCGATGTGCATCAGAATCAGGAATCACCTATATGGGATAATTTCAGAAGATGATAAGTGAAGTTCAGTTTTACTTGAATGTAAAGTGCTACTGTTTTTTTTTTCTGTGACAGTACAGGGAGATAGATGGCTTGTTTGCCAAATGGAAAGTTCTGAGTGAGAAATTACCACTTATGCCTATTATGAATGTATCAAGTCACTGGTCTGATAACAAAGGAAGCAGCTATTCCTTTTTTTTTTTTTTTTTTTTTTGCGGAACCGGGGATTGAACTCAGGCCCTTGTGCTTGCCAAGCAAGTGCTTATTCTACTGAGCTATCACCCCGGCCCCAAAGCAGTTATTCCTATTGCCTACCAGACACACACACCTTGGAAATGAAGATGCCTAGCTGTGAAGCCTTTCCTCCTCGGATGTTGAATCCCAACTGTAAGACAAGAGCACAGAACTGGGGCTCAAGATACAACACAAATACTGAGTAGCAGTATTATACAACAGCTCAGGCTTTGTGTTTCTGAGGGAAATGAGAATTTTCACAAGTGTTTCCCAACCCATCCCATCAAACAGCCAACATCTGGTATGCACAAATCTAGCCTGGAATAAGAGGCTCTCCATAAGCTTACCTGAGCTCCAGGAGGCTTCTTAAGTGTGACAATTCGGGGTAGAAACTGGGTCAACTCATTGTTGTAGTCTGGGTGGTATACTCTCTGCAAGGCAGCAACTCCAGAAATCTTACTACCAGTCCTAGATATCATACTTACCTTCTTCTGGAACACTAATGCATCATTCCCAAATCAGGAAAAGAGAAGGTCACAGACTTAACTTGGGTAGAACAAGTAATACTGTTCAAATGAGTCATTCGTTAGCATGAGGACATACTAGCAACTCAGTAGCTTCCCATTTCTCACTTCTTAACAAAATGAAATGTAAGGTTCTGCATTTCCAGAATTCACTGGTATAAATGGCCCCTCTCAGGAGCCTTTCAAAAAAAGTTCCCAATGTTTCCCTGTTGCTCAAAATTCATCTTTTGGCTAAAACAAGGGGAAGATTCACTCTCCATTTAACTTTCTGGCCATGTCATCCTACTTTTCAGGCATCACCTCATGCTCGAGGTAAGAATTCCCTTTTCAGGAATACAGAAGGTTCCCACCTCATGTGGTGGAATCCATGCTGGGGGATTCTCATAGGCAGGCAGGAAAACCACTGGGTAGTCATCATAAGGAATCCGGCTGTCCATCCTGGGCCAGGTCCTGGAAAGAAAGGGTGAACTGAAGTAAAAGTGATTCAAAAGGGGAGTGCAGTTATCCCAAGTTCCAGAAAGCAGTTCCAAACTATCTAAGGCTGAGTCCACATTTAGGCATTAAGACTGGGAGGAGCTGGGCATGGTGGTGCACTGTAACTCCAGCACTCTGAGGCAGAAAAATCACGTCAGGAGCTAGCCCGAGCAATTTAGCATGACCCTGTCTCAAAAATTTAAAAGGCCGGGGATGTACTTTAGTAGTAAAGAACCCCTGGCTTCAGTCCTCAATATGGGGTGAAGGGTGTAGATTTGATTAAGGACAAAAGTGTTGGGAAAAACCGAAATGTATGGATGCAAAGCAACATGCTAGAGTACTACAGACATGATCTCAATTTTCACAGACATCCTGCAGACCAAAAGTTACCGTCCTTATCCTAGAAAAGAGAAAAACGGGAGTGTCTACAAATATCTACTTTCTAAGTTTAAGGAAGTGATCCTAAATCACTGCACATCCTCTAGAGGTAATCAGTAATGACAGGGTCCCCACTTCGGCTAAGCCACCTTTAGATCCTCTTTCTGCACACACCCTACCCGAGTCCCGCGCTCACAACCGCATACACGCTTAGGCACCTCACCGGCACACAGGCCTCGCAGCCCGAGAATGGGCGAGCCGCCAATTCAGTCTGAGAACCGGAACCGGATGCTGCCTAGAGTCAAAGGCGCGCCCGGCTGCGGCCAGGTTCCCGCCCCTTCCTAGCGCGTCACCCCGCGCGCACCGAGGCGTGCTCCGCCCCCAGGCTGTCGGCGCGGCGATTGGCTGGCGCCTCTGAGACTGATTTGAAACTTGGCGGTTAAAGCTCGGTTTGGGACCCAGCGCCTGGAGACCGGGAAAGACCCGGGGAGAGGACGTTTAGTTTGGTGAGTTAAGGGGGCACCCTTAGCTCAGATTCTGCCTTTCACGTACCTTGGGGCTTTGGGTTTTCTGGTGGCTGTTTCTGTGTTTGTTTTTTCTGTTCATTTCAGACGCCACTTCACACTTGACAGTGTCGGGCTGACGGGCCTATCCGTTGAGGCCAGATCAAAGAGAGAATAATCTCTGGAAGCAGCGATTACAATGGCGAGGACCCTCCTAACCCTGCAGTCTTACGAGATACTTTAGCAAACTTCTCCTTCCCTTCCCCCTCGGCAGAGACGGTGTTGCGCTAGGGTCATGAAGGAAGAGGTGAAAGGAATCCCTGTAAGAGTGGCACTACGATGTCGCCCTCTAGTCCCTAAAGAGATCAACGAGGGCTGCCAAATGTGCCTTTCCTTCGTGCCCGGAGAGCCTCAGGTGCGTAGCGGAGTCCAGGACTTATTCTCAGCACCTGGGACTAAATGGCAGTGAGGGGCGTGGTCTAGCCTTCTTTTCCCCTAACACCTTGTCCCTTGCCTTCTGCAGGTGGTGGTTGGTAATGACAAATCCTTTACCTATGATTTTGTGTTTGACCCGTCTACTGAACAGGAAGAGGTCTTCAATACAGCAGTAGCGCCGCTCATAAAGGGCATATTTAAAGGTAAGGCGATCTAGTTCACCTATGTTTCTTGAGCATGTAGTTTGCACTGGGTATGGTGCCAGGGTTCTGCAAATCTAGAGATGAGTGAAGCATGATTCCTCTTCAGAAACCCCACATCTAGCCGGGCATGCTGGCACACTCCTGTAATGTCAGCAGGAAGATCACCTGGACTTTGAGGCCAGCCTTGTCTACATAGCGAGTTCATGGCCAGCCTACACTACACAGTGAGACCCTGTCTCAGAGATCCAAACCAAACCAAAGTAACACAACCCCCACAAAAAGGCAACAGCCTAATAGCAGCTGTGAAACCAAATAAAATTTGTAGACGTCCCTGTAGCCTTGAAACTTGTTTTCATACTGTATTTTCTTTCTGTGGTTCTGTTTGTCTTTGACTTTTACATATTTTTGTTTATCTTGGAACCTCATTAGAATATAAGCTCCTTTGGCCAGTGCTATTGCTGCTGAGTGTGCTAACTAACGTGCTTTAGTATTGAATACCATAGCAGGGTTCTAGAGAAGACTGAGAGATGTATAATTGTTATGTAGTACAGTGGTTAATCGGGATTCAAAACAAGTTCATTTAAAAGAAGTAGAATGATGGCACTAACCTTAAAGTTGAAAAATGTATTTGTACCTAATCGGTATAATTTTGAACTAAATTTTTTTTTCTGTAAAGGACATTATTGAAACAGCTGGCAAAACTGAAATGGGATTTGAGGAATAGATTTTAGCAACTGGCAATGCAAATTTCATTAGTATGATGGTTGTACTGGGGGTCATGCTTATAGTTTTAGTACTTCCTAATATAATTGAGGTTAAGGTGAGAATAGCCCATCTGCTTCTAAGTGTTTCTTTTTTAAATCTTGCCACAGTTGTAGCTGACTTTATCTACTTTTAATTTGAATCAAAAATTTTAGTTTACATGATGAATAAAAGCTCAAGTAATTAGTTACCTGGATTTCCTGATAAAACAAAAATAAATATTTTTGCGGGAACTAAACTAAAACAGAAATAGATCTTTCTGCAAACAGTACTGTATTACATTGATGATGACAGAAAACAGCCCCTGCTCAATTGTGTATTCCATTTAATATTCTAGAAAACACAGTCAAGCAGAAAAAACAAAACAAAGTCACTATCCTGGTAGATAAACATCAAAATGTTTATAATAGATATCTTTCTTGATTTTTCCTATGCACTTAACCTTCACAGTTTTAATTTTTTTTCAGTTATAATGACCATCTTTGAGTAAATAATGCTTTATCAATGTTCTATAAAAGTTGAGAATATATATCATGTTGAATCATATCAAAATGATGATTTTTCTGTGAGGAACCAGATAATATGGTTGGAGTACATTCTGAGTTCAAGTAGGGAGTAGTTTTATCAATAGTAAAAAACTGTTGCTGCCTTTTCAAATGGAGGTTCTTGATCAGAGAAATACAAGCCCACATCCCTTCCCTTTATACAGCTTCTAAGACTCATTAAGTTCTCATAATTTAGAATTGCTCAAAGTAGGGAGACAGAATTATAAATTTCTGAAAGACTATGGCTTGACCACTTTCATTGTCTTAGTCATATCTTTAAGTATTAGACTTTGTAGCTTTTAAGGACTATCAAGAGGGCACAACCTGATGTTGGTATTCTTTGTTGCTTATTTTGAGGAGTATGAAAGTCTTTGCATCCATAGAACTTTTCTTTGTGTTTGCGATTCCTAAGAGATTCTGTTTTAGCCAGGCATAGTGGTATACACCCGTAATCCCAGCACTTGGGGGGCTGAAGCAAGAGGATCGCTGTGAGTTCAAGTCTGATGTATATAGTGAGACCCTGGTTCTAAATAAATAAATGAATAAATATAGAAAGAAATTCTTAAGGCTGCAATCTCAATTTTGTTAGAAGTAATTGCTGAAGGAAATTGAATGTGTTAATCAAATGAAGTGTTACTATGGTTATGGCCTCTATTTTGCCAGGATATAATGCAACCGTCTTGGCCTATGGGCAAACTGGCTCTGGAAAAACTTATTCAATGGGAGGTGCATACACTACAGAGCAAGAGAATGAACCAACAGTTGGGGTCATTCCTAGGGTCATACAATTGCTCTTCAAAGAAATTGATAAAAAGAGTGACTTTGAATTTACTCTGAAAGTATCTTACTTGGAGGTAAGTGATTTATCTTTAATTATTTTGAATTCAAAATTTCTTTTGGGTAGAAAAATAAATCCCCCAGTACTTGGGAGGCTGAGGCAGGAAGGTTGCTGCAAATTCAGGCCAGTCTGGGCTACAAAAGTAAGTTCAAGGCTAGCCTGAATTGTATCATGAAACTGTGTCTTTAAAAGACAGGAAAAAAAAGGAAAGAAAGAAAGAAATCCAAATCAGGTTTTTCTGACATGATTCAGATTAATAAATTGTATTTTTAGTAAATTACCTCTTAATAAACTTACAGAGAAAACTTTGGCTCAGCTGGATCTGGCTCCCACTCTGTTCTTTTCTTATTAAAATATTCTATTGGTCTGTTTAATAAGATTTTTATAGGAATTTGCATTGCCATAATAAAAATAATAAAAAACCCTTTAATTCTATTTTGACTTCTATTTCTGATTCACTGTACAGTGTGCAGAAAAATATTTAATTTTCCTTCGTTGCTTTGAGACTTAATTTATAATTACCTGCTTCATGAAGAATGATTAAGAAATCAGATTGAATGCTGAGCTTTATGGTAGTAGAATGTGTTTATTCAGCAGATATTTATTGAACACCTGCTATGTGCCAGACACTATTTTAGGCACTTGGGTATGTCACATACTTGGAAGATATCAGTAGACAAAATGGATAAAAACCCTTGTCCTTAGAGGAGTTTGAGTTCCAGTATATATCAGCACAGAAGTAGACTGGCCAATTATAACAAACTTCATGTCACCAAAAAGACATTTAATTTAAGCATGTAATTATAAATTATTTGTAAATACTTTATCCTAAAGTTGAATGTCAATATGTTAGGCATAGGAGATATAGATTTGGAAGAGGTTAGACATCTCCAACATTACCCTTGAGTTTATCTTAAGCCAGTTGCAATCAAAATAATTAAAGAAAAAATAACTTGGGTACCTAGCATGTTAAATAGCGGCTTCAACAATAATATCAATCAAATAGTGGTGCTTATTATTTGCTAAATTTTGTTTGAATTACTTAGAATTCCGCTTGCTGTTGAAGTACTAGTTTCTACTTCTCCCTTTTTCTTCCCTTGCCCTCTACCTCTATCCTTCCCTCCCGCCATATGTGAAACTGATGCTATTATCAAATGGTCAAATAACTGAATGAATTTGGGCCTTTGTGTAATTTTACATCTGGCTGCTGTTCCTAAGAGATTGTATTAGGAGAGCAATCTCAGCTTTGGGAATGTAGTTCAGGGGTAGAGCACTTACCTGGCATTTGTGGGCTCTGGGTTCTGTCCTTAGTGCCCAGAATGTTGGGTGAGGAGAAGAAGAGGATACAGTTTCACTGTTCTTATAAGTAAATTTGTGAATTCATTTTTAGAAAATGTGTAGTGGTTGCCTATAAGGTTAAATTCCTTTTTTTGTGGTGCTGGAGCTTAAACCCAGGGTCTCATGCATACTAGACAATTACCTACCACTGAACTACATCCTCAACCTCTCAAAGTCCTTTACTTAATCTAAAAATAATACATGCTTATGGTAAGAGCAATTTTAAATATGAGAAGTTGCAATGTATTTGAAAAGTTATGTCTAAGAAACTCCTTCTAGGCCCAATGTCAAGAAATTATTTCCCTATGTTTTATTCAAGGAGTTTCAGTTTGGGTGGAACATGTTTAAATCTTAATCCACTCTGAAATTGCTATTGTGCCAAATGATGATCCACTTTATTTTTTTGCATGTGGATATTCAGTATTTTCAGGGCCTTTTATTACAGAGACTATCCTTTCCCCAGTATACATTACTTGGGACCCTGTGGATAATCAGCTGGACACAAACATACAGCTTATTTCTGGGCTGTTTTGTTCTAGTAGTCTGTACATCTGTACATCTTCTCCTATTCTTTTATGTTTGGTTGAGTTTTTGTAATGATAATTGTTGATTTTTTTCCCTCATTTTTTTTGTTATTTTCCTGTGATTAGTAG